ATGCATCCCTTTCACTCTCGTATATATGATACACACACACACACACACACGCAGAGATAGACCTCTGTTGAGTTGAGAATGATAATGAAGAGCTGTTTTCCGCATATATTAGAACAAGTGCATTTAATTTGATTGAAAGAGAATGTCAAATTCATCTTTTTATATTTCATTGTTTTTATGTGTACCATTATTGATGAAGCCGATAACAAATCAATTCTAAGAAAAACCACACATAAGTTATTTTCTAGCGTAATTTCAAATTAATTTGACGCTGGCTGAAATCTTAAAAACTGAAATTTATTTGTACTGATTTTAAAATACATATGAGCCCTTTTTGAAGTTGAAAAACCCAAATGCATGGATTTTACACACAATAAATCCCTTCATAAGTTCTCCCTATTTAATTATTAGATGAAACAATTTTTTAATGTGTCAAAATTTAATACATTTAAATTAAAAAATGGGACAGTTCACGATTATTCTCATAAGAGGACCTCCTCAAAATCCAAAGTCGTATAAAGTCCTTCCTTAAACCAAATTTGTATTTCTTAATGAAATTCTTAATTAGAAGAGTGACAAGGCATTAGTAGAGGGGTGTCTAATTTAAAGCTTCAATCCAGACTATCTCACATGGATGTCATTTTCATTCCTTACGGAACCTCTTATCTTAGTGATGTGGGACACTTTAGGTGCTTAGTAAGTTTGTTTAGTTTAGATTTTTTATTTATTTTATTTATATTTTTTTTTATAGAAAGTTTAGTTTTAGTTAATTTCTCTTAGGAATTATTTTTGTTTTGATACTAGGTTTTTTTTTTTTGGTTAAACCTTTAATACTAGGATTTGTTTAGTTATAAATTTTTGTACCCCAAATTGCAGAATTAATCAACTTTTACTCATTCAATTATTAATAGTATATTAGATTTTCTTTAAATTATTTTTTATTTTGTGAATTCAAAACACCTACTCTGTAAATTCAACTTGAACAATTTTATCTTATTCGCTTACGTTATCCGGAGCACATAAAAAATGTTAAGTAATATGAATACTTTTTCATGATTCAATAATACCAATGTTGTTATTAAACATTACCGCATGGATCAATTTTGTCATGTTGTCTTTCATCATATTAAAATAGTGACTAATAGACTTTCATCGTATTAATAATTTTGATGACATAAACATAAACCTTCCCTAGTCGAGCAGGAGTTTGCTAGTCATAGATAGACAACCTTTATGTTGAATTCATTGAACTCAACAGCTAAATTTCCTCAGTCAAAACTAGCCAATTTAAGCCGACAAACCTGACAAGGGTGGGATTGATAGCTAATATCTAATAATGTTGTACCATAATAGGGAGTAGATAGTAAGATGGGCAAGATTATTGACACATGAATTGTGATAGGGTTTGAAAAATAAATTAAACGCATTCAATTAAGTTTATGTATGTAAGAGATAATGGCGGGATAATATAATCATATTCAATGAATAACAAATTCTTATCAATACCCTCCACACATAAATAGAAAATATTTAAAAATGAGTTTGAATAATTTGCAAATAGTTGGTGTTGTATCATGTTTGAAGTCTTTGGAAAAATGCTCCCCCCTCTCTCTCTCCAAACAAGCCTTGGTCTTTCTTCCTTCTGCACTCCTTTCCATGGCCTCTCACGGTTGCAATAAACTTGACGTGTTCCAATAAGTGCGCTTCGTAAGTATTTTTTTCGTCGTTTTTTGTTTTTGTTCGGGTAGCTCTGCTCATGTTTGTTTCCTTTTTGGCTCACCTGGGTAGATCTGTTGTTTCTCTCCAGCTAAATCTCTGATCTACGTCGGATTTGAATGTTTCCCCACCTCGATTTGATCATTTTCTCCTTAATTGGTTCTTGCGCCGAGTTTTGTGGTTTTGTGTGTCGGTGTGTCTTGTGGTTGTATCTTTGGAGCGGTTGTCGTGCTAATGGCCATACTTTTCGGTCTCTCCAATTTGCTGCGGTCTTCTATAGTGATTCCGTTTACAGAGTGTTGGGCTCTGTGTTCTTCGTAAATCCGAAGCCTATTGTCACGGGCCTAGAGATTTGGCGCAGCGGCACGGCCCGTGCGACACCAAGGCGTTGCTTCAGCTTGCGCAAGCGCCTTGATCAGCCACCACGACCTGCCCTTCCAAGGATACATGCTGACTGGTTTCGGCCTGCCATGGCCTCGTCAGGGGAACGGCTCCAGCTCCCGACCAGTTTGTGCAGGGATGGCCAACTCCCTTCTTCATAGTTAAGTCCACGACCAGCGACAAGCACCTCGAATTGAACCGAGTCGACCTGCCTGAACTCTGAAGAGGTACCATCTTGAGCTCCTGCACGCCCCTTCTCTGGAACCATTCCCATTCAAACTTTGCTCTTTGCCAACCAGCACGCGTGTCTTTCATCCTCCAAGCGTCTTAGGAATCACTTCGTGACACTATTCTTCATTTATTTGTTTTGCTTCAAGATTTATATGCCTTTTCTGACTTGACATTATGCCTCTGGACTGCCATATTGACTTTAGGCTTTTGAACCTTTGAATGACAACAACAACAACAAAAAAAAAAAAAAAAAAATTCAAGTTTGAAGTCCTTGCAATAATAGCACGGTAATGGCCAAGATCATTTACATATTTATATGCGTGCAAGTGTTATGCTACTGTGGATGATCAATTCAACGAAAGAATTGTTTTTCCTCACATTAATGTACAATGTATAAAAGGTGAAAACATATATGGATTCCCAAACCGTTACATTTTAAAAAAGTGAAAAGAGAGAGAGATGCAAGGAGAGATCGAGAGATAGATGCAAGGAGAGATCATCAACTTCATCAAAGCATGACTCTCAGTCTTCACATCTCGATGCTACTGCTATGGTATATATACACTGCATATATATACACACACTACATATACTACGTATGTGTGTATATGTATGTATGGTGAACAACCACGTGGTCGAATCAGGAAGGTTCCTGTTGATTATAATCCTCGGATTCTTTATGTTTGGAAAGTGTGACTCCAAATAAGAATCTTTTGTTGTTGACGGCATCATCAAAATTATTGAATACGATAAAAAGTTTATTAAAGTAAGACTAATCACTATTTTAATATGATGGAAGAGAAAGTGACAAAATTAATCTCTGGACTTATGTTTAATAATAAGTTTGACTAATCACTATTTTTATAGTGATACTAAAAACTATAAAAATGATTCAAAAGTGCGATGAGGCTCTCTAAATTTTAAAAGTAAATATTGAATATGTGGTACATGTCATATTATTAATGTATTCATTCAATTAAACAATTTTATAATAAATGAGTTGAATTTTTTTTAAAAATAGCACATTATCAGTGATTATGTACACGATGCACTCAATATTTATTCTAACCAGGTAAATTTTGTTTGTGACTAATTTAGAATTTCATCTGAAACATTATTGATTATTTAAAACAACAAAATTGGTCCAAAGAAGTCCGTCAAAGCTCTTGGTCATTTTTGTAGTGTTTAAAAGTATTTTCCTTTAATTTAAAAGTCAAGGCGTAAAATTACTTATTTCCAAACTTTTTTTTTTTTTGTTTTATCCTATAAAATAAGATTGGTATGATTTGTTCCTAACCTTTGAGTATGTCCTTTTCTGTTGCTAGACTTTTTCCTGAATTTTACGCCTCAGAGTCAGTAAATAACATGTCTTGATGTGTTTTGTAAATCATTTTATTTTTTATTTTAAGATAAAACTTTTTTCCTTAAAAAAGGAAAAGAAAAAAAATCATAAAAAGACATGTAATAGAATATATATCATTGAGGTAGATCTATGCTGACCTTTGTTTTTGTTCTGAAATGGTTTTGATTTTTTGATGGGTGACTTCGATAAGTGGAATATGTGGGCATTATTTCCCGTATAGATCAGATACCCGTGAATCGTGATCAGAAAATAATTAATATTTTAATCTCCTTTTTTTTTTTTACCTTATTTTGTGGCATTTTTATTTGGTGTCAATAAAAGATTCTCTTAGTTGTAAGGGTTTCATATGAACCAACTTTGTTTTGTTTTGTAGCATGAGATAATTTATGTGTATGTGGTGATCTCAGATGCTATAATTTGTTTTTCTCAAGTCATACCAGACAATTTGGGCTCAACATTTTATTTTTCAGCATTTCAAAAAAATAAAAATTGAATTATCCAGTTTATGTCATACAATATATTATATTTCTTATTTTATTTTTTAAGATGACACTTTGAGAGAACGTATAGTGTATTTAATGCATCACGATATGTAAAAAACTCTGTTGTTTGTGCGTATCGACGTATCCAAAGTGTGTGTGTGTGTGTATATATATGCAGTGAAAGCGCAAGGTTTACATAATGGAATTAAAAAAGAACTTTAATTTATCTAAAACAGTATAAAAGAGATAAAAAAAAAATGATTTAAATTACTAAAACAATTCTATTTACATTTATATGCATATACGCGTGTGTATATAATATATATTGTTGGAAGGTGATGGTTTGTTTTGGTCCTACGATGACTTTCCAAGTTTGAAGTTTGATATTTTTGGAGACCAACGGGATCAGGTTGCCAATATTGTTGATCCTCGTCTCAAAAGTTTTAGAGTATGTCAAACAGTGTGTTAAAAAATTATTTTGTTTTTTTTTTTTTAACAATTAGAGTATATTCCATGCACAAATACTTGCTTACATCTTACTTTAGTACCTAAATTCATGTAAATACTAGAAAAGTATTTACTATTTAGGAATTTATCAAAAAGGGAAAAATTAAATTAATATGGGAATCGACAAAGGGCCTGTTTTTGGAAGGTGGTTTGTTATTGGTTTGGGTGTTTTGATTTTGTATTTTGGGCTAATATCACGTTTGGGGTGGCCTGACGTGGTGTTGAACAGTGGTAAAACATTTTCAAAATGATGGGCCAAACCCATATCACCAAGTAGGTGATATTGGGTGATATGGTCACTGTAGCGCGGTCATATCAGGCCTAAAAACTGATATCAAACTCATATCAGTTTACTGTAGCGGCCGTAACAGGTATAAAACCTCATATTTCAGAAATCCTACCCATTTGCGCCTCTCATTTCTCTCTCCTCTCGCAGCTCGGTTGAGGCAATTCTTCCTTTAATCATTTTTCTCTGCAAATCTTTCAAAAACCCTACCATTTTCATTTCGTATTTGGTTTTTCTATTGTTTCTCTCTATTCTTTGCTTGTGTGATATGAATCTGAAACCGTGGTTTTTCACTTGCGACCACGGATCGAAGGTTTTTCTCTCCAAAACCATTGGTTTTCCTCTCGTTTCTGTCTGTTCTCTACTTTTATAACGCGAATCTGAAACCCTGCAACCCAAGTTCTTTGCTCGCGACCACAAATCGAAGGTATTTCTCTGCAAAACCATTGGTTTTGCTCTGTTCTCTGCTTCTGTGACGCGAATCTGAAACCCTAGCTCGGTGGCGAGCACATCGAAGGTATTTCTTTGGAAAATTTGCAACAGCGTGTTCTTATTCACGTGATTATGTGCACTATTTCCGAATCATATTCCAATTTCTATTGTTTTCCTTTACTGTAACCTACAAAACCATTATATGTGCACGATTATATATGGTGTTGTTTAATTTTACGGAATTAGTTGAGGATTTTTGCCTTTATGAGCCAAACCCATTTTTTTTTTTTAATACTGAAAACGTATAAAATTTAAGTTAACTTCTGAAACAAAATATTCGTAATTTTTAAAATATATTTATAAACTACATCGCAGACCTTGAAATGTATACGCATACATATTAGCGATTTATATTTTTCTTAATTTGATTTAGTGACTTAGCGAATTCTTTTAATTCAATCCTTATTGACAAATTTGAGTACTGATGTTTAATTTGTTTGCTCAGCTATACTGAGCTTTTTCAGTGTGATTAATAATTTGTTTGCCCAGATATCTAGAACATGCTCATACTACACTATTTATTTCCCTTTTTCGTGTGTCATACTTATTAATTTAGATTTTCTTTTTGATAGCAATCTAAAAAGGTGTTGTTACACATACATATGTATATATAATAAGCTTTTTGTTGTTTTGATCTAATAATACAAGTTGTTAGTTGAAATGATTGCAAACTTCTTTGGTGGTGTGTGTGTTTGGTCTGGAACAATGGTACTTCTGCTGAAATTTAAGTGTTCAAAGATTTCCAAGGATTTCCAAATGCTTGACAATCTTGATTGAAAGGTCAAGCCCTTGTTTCTGTTAGTTTGTGTTTTACCTTGATTGAGCTTGAGGTTATTGTCTGATTGTGTTTGTCTTTCTCTTTCACTCTCACTCTCTTTTGTTCTAAATTTGTGTTTATGCAATCACTTTGTGCCAGTTCTTTTTTGTTTTTTTTTGGCAATAATTATAAGTGGGTTTATTGCCAGTTTTTCGTTGCAAAGAAGCATAATAAGTTGTGAAGCATCAAATATAGATAATAAGGCCCTGCTTGGATTGGATCTATGAAAACAGTTGACAAAAAACAGAAAACTGTATTTTAATTCTGCTTGGATCTATTTTGTGGAAACAGTTTTTGAAAAACTGAAAATTGATAGTTGCAATTTTTAGAGAACAATAAAAAGGTGTTCTCACAATTCACAATATTTGGGTTGGGATTTGATTGCTGGGTTGGATTTGGTTGTGGAGGAGAGTTTTATCAATTTTAAGGTTATGTAGGAGAGTTGGTTTCAATTTTAAGGATTTGTGCTCTACAACTGCAAGTAATTTTACACTTTGACATTTAAAATTAAAATTATATTAGATATAGTCCATGGTTCTTTTTTTCTTCATACTTCGAACTTCTTGTTTTTTCATTTTATTTTTCCAGGTAAGTTCATACTTAGAACTTTGATAGCACAACTGCATTTTTCTCCCCTTTTCCTGAACTTATTCAGATGAATTGTTAGACTATGATGGTTGCTTCATTTCAACACTAAGAACAAATTAAATATTTTTTCCCCTTTGCTAAGGAAGTTTGGAAGTGATTCATGTCTTGCTGCAAATGGGAGGGTGTCCTTCAATATACTAATCTGCAGGAGGTGGTCCAGTGGTTTGAAGCTCGAAGTTGCTAGAAATCTGTTTGGTGCCATGTTTTTTTGGCAAATTTGGACAGAGAGGAACTCAAGACTTGGTGAAGACAAGAAGAGAGATGTTGGTTTGCTTTGATTGCATTCAGTTCCTTGGGCTCAGTATGGAAGATTGATTTTGTTAGTTTTTTTTGTTTGATCTTTGGCTGGAGTACTTGCTTTGTACCTCCGGTGTGTATTTTGTATCAGCAATAAAATTGGAATCTGTGTCCTGTCTGTTACTTGATCTTGATCTTGATTACAATGCTTTATCTTATTGATGTCAATGAAATTGCCTTTTCATATACTGAAATGGAAATAATGTTTTTTATTCATATTGGTATTAACATTTAAATGTGGTTAGAATTGGATATTTTGTATATGAAGTGTGCTGATTTAATAATGAAAATGAAAATTGAGCATGTATTCTTTTCACCAAGTAGGTTTTAAATTTTTTGTTCTCTTAAAACTGTGTTCTGTAGTTGTAGTTTTCACTTACAAAGCGGAGTTTTTATTTTAAATTGAATTTTTATTTTATTATTATTATTTTTTTATGGGACCACTTTTATATCATTTGAATCCATAATTTACAAATGGAAGTAATTGTAACAGAATATTTGCAGCTATAATAGATGTTTTTCAATTAACTTTTTTCCATTCGAAAGGATATTTTTCACTTTTGCAACCACCATATCATTAGGGATGACAAATTTTCCATCTCCATCGGGTCCCCGTCCAGCCCCGCCTCGTCTGTAGCAGGGATGGGGACCCTTTTATGAAATCGGGGATGGGAATGGGGGAGGGGGGTAAATTTTGAAAACCCGCAAGGGCGGGGTAAACCCGACCTGTTTCGCCCCACTTCGATTAAGTGTTAAATTACTAATATAGTCTTACATTTAATAATTTATTACTAAATTAGATTTAGTATATATATGAAAATAAGAAAAATTAGGTTTTTTTTTTTAAAAAAACATAATATATGTTAATTGGGGCCGGGGACAGGGATAAGGGTCGAGAGTGGGGCGGGGTATGGAGATGGTGGTGAAATTTTAAACGGGAATGAGAGCAGGGATGAGAATTGAAAATTTTAGTGGGGATAGGGATGGGGAATCAGATCCCCGTCCCGCCCCATTGCCATCCCTACGTATCATATGGCTAAGGATGATGAAAATTACAACTGATCCCAAAGTTGCATTGCCGAGTTCTCAAATACAAAGCACACTCAGTCTCGTTACTAAGTACAACTGACATTAATCCGAGTTCTCAAATACAAAGCACACTCAGTCTCGTTACCAAGTACAACAGACATTAATATGAAATTATTTACCATATACTAAAAGGTAAACTGTGAGTCTTGAGGGAGCAACTTAATACATCCATTAACACATATATGGGTATACTTTTCAACATGAGTGGTGTATGTAATTATTAAGGTAACAATGATATATTTTAAAATAGCAAATATAATGTAACTATTCAAATTTTCAATGACACGATTGAAATATAAAAAGTTACTCTAATTTTCAATGACGCAAGTGTTGTACTTTTTTTTACCAGTGTTAATGGAAAAAAAATGACCTTTTTTATTATTTTAATAAATTATTTAAAATCATATAAAAATGAACTATTAAATATAAACTTATAATTGTATTAATATATATTTAATTATTCAAAACAAAAACAAAACAGTCCTGTTATTGATTTAAAATTTTTGACAACAAAAAAAACTTTCTAAACGTATTTTATTTTCAAATTTCTCAAAATGCATAATATTACCAAATGCATTTTCATGTGCAACCCTAACTGTTTCTTAAACTAATTTTAGAAATGAAAAACCAAAAAATGTAGTTTGCGAAAAATCACTTGGTATAATTTTCTACCTTTTCATGGTGACGGTAATTATGAAATGAAAGAACTTCCCAATTTAATGATGGGGACAGGAATTATGGGCAGGTTCCATTTAGTTTTCGGTGCCCTACAAAATTACATTCCCCCATCAATTGCTGTTGCGAACTTAAACGTTGGTGTCATCTGCTTCCATTTATTACGCTACATAATCAATCTGACAACTTTTTTTTTATTTTTATACAACTTTTTTATTTTATTTTTATTTTATGCATGATGACATTAACTATTCTATACATGATGACATTAACTAAATCAAACCAATTTTATTTGGGAGGTACATGAAAAGATCATAATTTGTAACGGTAGAATGTAAAAAATTCTCCTGAATTATATTTTAATTTGTAAATAATCTTCCTCAATTATATTTTGTACATAATATTTTTTAAATTATTTCATTTTATTGCAAAATATCACAATGTCTATACTATATTTTATTAAATGATCATAATACCTTTTTCGTATTGAAATATACTTAATTTATTTTTCTTATTGAAATAAATTATGAAAAAAATTTCATACTAATTTGATGACATATTTTACATTAAATTTGCATAAAATAATTTATTCTTTAATTTTTGGTACGTTTTACCCTGTCGATGGACTCGACCTCAATCTTTGCCAAACATGATGAAAAAAAAAAAAGAAAAAAAAAGGGTGTATCAAAACAGCCTTTACTCGCAAAAAATACGCTCAGACATCCCCTAGTCCCTATAGATATTTGAATTCTTTCATCTATACGAAAACTTAAACCCTCCATTTTTTACCATGAAAGACAAAAAAATAACACTAAGCAATTACCCTCAAAAATCATATTGACGTTTGGACCATGCTTTTCAGCTTTCACAATCAAATTATTAGTTGAAATTGGAGAACAGAAATTATTTGAAGTCTCATAAGCTTCGAGTGTACCTCTGAAATCTTGATTTTTAACCGAAGTGTTGGAGACAATAAGATGCCAAGTCCAATGGAAAATTTCTAAAATAATGGGAAGATTTGAGAACCATCAAGGTGGACTCTGACTCTACAATTCATTTACTTCTCCATTCAAAATTACTCAGTGCCTATTGCGGTCACTGGTCACCGGTCAACTCTGCTCCAACAAGCACGCCACTGTGAGGCATTTTCTGTATCCTCATTTACGATTTAGGATCTACTCTCCATTATGGAGAGGGAGGATACGATAATATTTGTGGGGATTTTTTTGTTATAGCGGTCTTGTTTTTTTTTTAACGAGATATGTAATTAATATATTGTTCTTTATAAAATTATCAAATTATCGATTTAAATGTGCATACTATTAGGTTTTGAGATTTTTTGAAAACATAAAAGAGTAATCACAGAAATATGAAACATATAATATGTGACATCTCTAAATAAAAAGATATACGAACAAAAAGAGTAGCCTTTTTTAACTTATTTAAATTTTGTTTTAAAGTAGGAGTATTTCTTTTATATTTTAATACAATTTTAGTACATAAAATAAATGTATTGAAACACAATTTAAGTGCATTTTTATCTCACTTTGGATAAAGTGTATGCATATATAAAAGGGCCAAATTATTAGAAGTTTAGAAACAAAAGACAAAATGCAATGCTTTCACTCTCGTATATATGATAATGAAAACTTGGGAGCACAGTTGTGAATTATTTCCCTATTACCTTTGTCATACATATATATATATATATATATATATATATATATATATGTGCAGAGACAAACCACTGTTGAGTTGAGAATGATAATGAATGGCTCTTTTCCGCATATATTAGAACAAGTGCATTTAATTTGATTGAAAGAGAATGCCAAATTCATCTTTGATATTTCATTGTTTTAATGTGTACCATTATTGATGAAGCTGATAACAAATCAATTCTAAGAAAAACCACACATAAGTTATTTTCTAGCTAATTCCAAATTAATTTGACGCTGGCTGAAATCTTAAAAACTGAAATTTATTTATACTGATTTTAAAAGACATACGAGCCCTGTTTGAAGTTGAAAAACTTAAGTGCATGGATTTTACAAAGAGTAACACTTCAAAGAAATCCCTCCACGAGCTCTCCTTATTTAACTATTAGATGAAATAATTTTTTAATGTTTCAAAATTTAATACATTTAAATTAAAAAATAAGACAGCTCATGACTCTTCTCATAAGAGAACCTCTTAGGAGCATTACTCAAAATCCAATTTAAAGCTCCAATAGAGACTATCTCACATTGATGTCATTTTCATTCCTTACACAACCTCTGTTTTTTTAGTGATGTAGGACACTTTACGTGTTTAGTAATTTTTTTTTTTACTTTAGATTTTTTATTTATATATATATTTTTTATAGAAAGTTTAGTTTTAGTTAATTTCTCTTAGGAATTATTTTTGTTTTGATATTAGGTTTCTTTATGATTAATCCTTTAGTACTAGGATTTATTTAGTTATAATTATTTGTACGCAAATTGCAGAATTAATCAACTTTTACTCATTCAATTATCAATAGTATATCAAATTTTCTTTGAATTATTTTTCGTTTTATGAATTAATTCAACTTCTTGTAAACAATTTTATCTTCTCCACTTACGTCATCCAGAGCACACAAAAAATGTTTATATGCATAACGTGCTAAGTGCTATGCTACCGTGGATGATCAATCCAACTAAAGAATTGTTTTTATCACATTAATGTACATGCATAAAAGTAGAAAACAAATATGGATTCCAAAAACATTACATATTAAAATAGTGAAAAGAGAGAGACCTAGAGAGAGAGAGATATGGATGGAGAGATCAACAACTTCATGAAGGTATGGCTCTCAGTCTTCACATCTCTATGCTACTGCTATGGTATAGCCAAGATTGTACCCAAAGGCACACCAAGACTGCTCACAATAGTCCCTGTGGTGTGTCTCTTCCTATCTTTGCCTCTCAATTTACACACTATGCATCTTGGAGGCACAAGCGCATTCTTCATTGCTTGGCTTGCAAACTTCAAACTCCTCATGTTTGCATTTGGTAAAGGACCTTTATCACACCCTTCAATCTCTCTCCCACAGTTTGTTGCAATCGCTTCTCTCCCAGTCAAAATCATACAAAACCCACCTCCGAAAACGTCGAAAAAAGGCCATAAATCGACTCTCAATTATGCTATCAAATTTCTTCTTTTGGTGTTGTTAGTTCGTGCGTATGATTACAGTGAATGTTTACATCCAATGATCATACTTTTCCTGCATTGCTTGCATGTATACTTTGCCTTGGAGATCATACTAGCCATGATTGCAGCCCTGGTTCGGACCCTTTTGGGGTCGGAGTTGGAGCCACAGTTCGACGAGCCATACCTTTCAACCTCA